CGGACGGTCAAGGGAAATGGTCCACCGTCCTTAGCGGCGGTCGACCGTCCCGTAGACAGTCCACTGACTTTGGCTTCGATTTGATCCGTTTTTTGAACTTAACGCCTTGATTCTTTTTAGAACAATAATACAAACATTGAAGAATATATTCCTAGTGATTTCTAGGCCAATATTTATAAGTTTTACGTAGTGAACGTTTTGATGGCTAACCTACGAACATGCATGGATTCTACGTAGGTTGCGTACGATATTGCTATGAATATAACGACATAGATTATAACTAAATGTTCTAGAATTAGAGGGGACAACTACTCACCGATTGACAGAATGGTGGAACAAGATGGTCGAACGACGTCTAACGAACGGATGATAACGAACAAACGAACAGTCGTACGGACGGCTTCACGCGTAGCCCTCCTTCTCCTCCTCCTCCTCCTTCCTCCTCGACTAACCGCCGGAACACCTCCTTTGCTGCTGCTGCTTGGCCGAACAAGACAAGGGAAAAGGGAGTTGTGTGTGAATGCTTGGGAGTTACAAATGATGGGGAAAATGAAGAGGGGAAGGAGGATTATATTGAAGGGAATTAAAGGGAGTTAAATGGGAAATAATTGAGATGAATGATGGGAGTTAAGGGAGATCAATGGGTGTGGCGTATGAATGGTGGAGGTTACAAATATTTATTTTACTCCGTTATGTAAAATTTGACCTGAACAGTACGTGCTTTCCCCCCGAATGGGTCCGAATTGAGTTCCGTTTGCGTTTTTGGAATTAGACAGTCAAAACGAATTTAATGACATGTTCAAATAATTTTTCTAAGAACTTTATTTTCAAACTTCCGGGTCCATCCCAATCATTAATTAATTTATTTAATTAATGTTGAGTGGTCCGTTATTAAAACATCTTTTTATATTAAAATACATGAGCTTTGGAAAGCCATTTAAAGAGATCGAAATCTCAATACTTATTAATTTAAAATAATGAGTCTCAATAAATAAATAATATTTATTTATTTAAAACTAGGCTAGTTTGTAGGGCGTTACATCCACACTGTCAAAAAATGTATTTAAGTTGGTATACTATACACTTCCAGAATATGGGCATAAGACACTGTCATCATACCCAATATAACATGTATTTACACTGTCAAAACATGATCATTCCACACTCCCAAAAAATATGTTTTAGTTGGTATACACTTTCAGAAATGAGCATAACGCACTGCCAGAAAGTGCTGTTAAGTATTGTGAACCATAACACACTGCCCAAAACATGGACATAACACACTACCAGAAAGTATAGGTATCACATGACCATTCCACACTCCCAAAAAGTTGATATACAATTCCAATTTCGTTTATTAGTTGTGTTTAATTTGTGAGAAGTGACACGACAGTTTTAAGTGTTACGTACAATTAATGGGAATAACTTTCTAAAATTATGGATCTTAATAAACATGGTAAATGAAATAATTAAAATATTGCATTATAATAAAAGGTATTATTGGAAGAGATCTACATCATAAGTAGTCAAATGTGTGAAAAATAATAAGGAATGTTATATGTGTAATATTGCGTGTTTTAGAGTGCTACATAGGATGTTTTCTAAATGCAAAATATCTCAATATGCAATGTGATTTTTTATGAAATGTTAGGAATGAGTAATGATAAAGTCACAAACAAACAGTTTACAAAATTCATAAACTTATCTTTTTAACATTTTTCTAAGATGCACTTAAATAATAAAAAATATTTTAATTTAAAATCTACAAAAGACAAATTTGTGAAGTTTGTGAACTATACGTTTGTGACTCTAGCATTTTTCGCTTAAAAAGAGTAATGCTAGAACCACAAAGAAACAGTTCACAAAATTTACAAACTTGCCTTTTTAACATTTTTTTTAAAATAAGATGTATTTAAATAATAAATAAATATTTGAATTTAAAATGTAAAAAAGACAAACAGGAATTCCTTGAACCAAACATAGTGTTCATGTTTTGCGAGTGACGAGGGACGATGTCGGGGTGGAGTGAAAATTATAATTTTCTTTCGAAAGCAAAATCAAATTATTTTTTACCAATTGGGAGAAAATATCTCTCTCGAAAAATATATTTTTTCACTAATGATATCAAACGCAAGAAAATAGAATTAGAATTTTTTTCGAAAATATTTTTCCCAAACCAAAAACACTTTGAATTAATGAGAGTCCTCTTGGTTCATGATACTCCGTGGGATACATACCAAGACAGAATATATGCCTCGTGCTATCAATTAATTTAAAAACACTATGTTATTCTTTGTTTAAAAAATGTTATTCTTAATTACTACGTATGTTATTATTTTAAAAAGTTTTATAACTTTTATTAATTTAAAATATAATGTTATATACTATAAATTATCAAAACCGTCTAATATTTAATTCATTTTAGTATTTCTAAAAAAAATTATATAAAAAGTTCTTCATTATCAATTGCTCATAATCTATACTAGGCTAAGGCCAACCCTTCATTAATGACAAAAATTTTATATGCATACTTGTCATTGAACATAATCATTATGTGTGTGTGTCTATATATATATATATATATATATATATATATATATATATATATATATATATATATATATATATATATATATATATATATATATATATATATATATAATTTTTTAGAATATAAAGAGACAATTATTCGGGTAATTCGTTTTTAATCGAATAAAAATTCATGATTATTAAAATATAAATTCTTACATACTTGTGGTCCTCCAATGTAACTTCTATCATTTGCTCTGGTGCTTGTTTTATCATACGAGTTTTCGGTGGGCTTCGACTAACAACCTTCTCAATTATATTTGTAAGTACCGAATTATAAGACAATGGTATTATGGATACATTATAAATATGAGTAATTAATTAAATTATAATACTTCAAGTGGTGCTTACCAATTAACAACATCACATATTCACATTGTCACCACAAATCAATTTCTAAATTTCTTCAAATCCCATAAATTTGTAACGAAAATTCGGGAATCTGTTTCCTGAAATCTCTTGAAGTTTTGTCCTGCCAAAGAACTGTAGCATAAAAGGGTGGTTAGTAGTTTTCGTTGTTTGGTAATTGCATAATACTTTGACTCTCATAAGTAAATAAACACTATCTCCTTTTAATTTTTCTTTGAAAGTGCATATATTTGAATCTTTGATTTGTACATGTATTCGATCTCCCTGACAATGCAAATGAAAAAAGTACATATTAGCATCATTACAACGTTGTGAATGTATATGTATTTTAGGTTAGTTTTAATGAAACAACTAATATCTGAATCATGGAAAATTACATCCAAAGATTCAGGTCCCTTAGCATAGGCACAGACATGATAAACTCTTATCACTCTTAATTTAGACATCAAAACTGAGAACCTCTCATCAATTTTTTTTACAGTCGTTAACAACTCCATGTTACTCTAAAGGTAGAATTGAACAATTAGATTATATATAATATATAATATAATAAGAACGTAATAAGAACTTTAAAACTCAAAACGCAGTTCAAAGAGGTAATTATGAAAAGAGTTTGAAAATGTCCATATTTCTAGTAGGAAAAGTTTAATCTTTTTCTTTTTCGGATTTTGTAAATTTTTTTATTTTTGGAATCATCCTAGTCAGCTTAGCCTTTTAATAAAAATGGGAACTTATTGGTACATTATATATATTTTTCAAAAATGCTAGAGTCACAAACATATAATTCGCAAACTTGCCTTTTGTGAATTTTAAAATTAAAATATTTTTTATTATTTGAGTGAACCTTATTTCTAGTAAAATATTAAAAAGGCAAGTTTGTAATTTTTGTAAACTGTTTGTTTGTGACTCTAGCATGCCGCCCATTGACTTTGGTTATATATGGTAAAAGTAATGTATTAAAAAATTATATTTCCTAATGAATATATTTATATCACATTCTATTATTTTTTGTAAGGAAAATTCTATTTGTACCCCACATTTGTATCCCATTTTGTACTCCAAGAGTTTGCTCTGACATGAAATGTAAGTGCAAAACTAGTATTATGCCAGTAATGCACTTACATTTTGTGTCAGGATAAATCGTTGGATTACAAAATATGGTACAAAGTGGGGTAAGAGTACACAACGTTTTTTGTAATTTATACTTCTATACAAAAGCAAAAGAAATCAAGCATATTTTCTACAAAATAAAAAATAAAAGGTTCCCGCCTAACCGATGGCCAATCTGATCCGTCCATCTTATTTACATGAAAGATCTACGGCTATTGGTGAACAGGATTAATTACCCTTTTCTTAAATGTTTCATAATAAGCATTATTATTGAATCACCACTATGGCATCGTAAATGAGTATTGGGAAGTTGGAGAGACAAAATATTTTTGATTCAAGGACATATTAATTACATGACTATAAATATTCCCGGCCGTATATACTCAATATCATCGGATCATTCACCTCCTGCAAAAGCTTTGATGATCAGCAGGAATTGGGAGAGGGATGAAAGAAATTGTTATTGGATTTTCATGCAAGTTTTTGAGAAGATGATCGGAAAAGAGAGGAACTTAGAGGGTGGATGAAGATTTTTCTTTAGATTAACCGTTTATTCTATTAGTCTCTCAATATTATACTCTGATACGGGCCTAGGGCATGCAGCCCATGACGTGCAAGAAGAACCCGAGTCCCCGAGGTTAAGGCGTTCGCGAAGGAACGTTGGGCCGCCCCAACGTTACAAGAATTATGTGTCCTTAATAATTATTTTATATCTATTTATTTCCCTTTTTGTATTTTAGATTTTTATTAGGTGAGCAGAATTATAAGCTCCTTCAAGGGTTTTCTTTTCGGTTCTTTCCCTTGACGCTTTTCTTGAACCGACAGGAATAGGATTAGGTTTTCGTATTGCTATATATATGGCCGCATGTCTAAACTACAAATCAAGCAATAAAAATCCTAATTAGTTAGCATAATAATTTCTCCTAGTTAAACTCTCCCTCTCTCTGTAAACCCTAACCGTGTCTTCACGGTGATCTCTGGCCACCATCCTCGATACTTGTATCAACTGGTGCTTTCATTCCGATCTCATTCCCGCAATCATGGCCACGCCCTCCTCCGATGACCAGCAGCCCGTTTCTGCCCTCACGATGGACGATGTCATGCGTGCCATCAACAATTTGGGGAAGGAATTGGAAACTACAAAGTCCTATCTCGCCAAGGAACTGGACGTCACCAAGAGCCGTGTCGCTGAACTATTAGCCACAGGCAATACGCCGACCAGCAACGACATGCGGCGTCCACCGCCGTACAGGCCACCGCCAGTTGCATGGCGACCACCCGTCTCCCGCACCTCTCACATTCCTGCCGCTACCGGCCCTATACCACGCATGCGCATCGATGCACCCCGGTTTTCGGGGGAAGATCCTGTGGGATGGATTTTTCGCATCCAAAAATACTTCGATTATTTTCTTACTCCCGAAGCCGAACGCCTTCACTTGGTGGCCATGCTCATCGACCATCCGGCGTCCGAATGGTTTCGTTACTATCAGGCCAACAATTGTAACGTTTCCTAGATGGAGTTTTTGGTCGCGGTTCGCCAACGGTTCGACCCCGATTATTATGAGAATTACATCGGGTTGCTCTCCAAGTTACATCAAACCACCACCGTCATGGACTATCAATCCTCCTTTGAAACTCTCTTGAATAAAGTCGCCGGGGTGCCTGAACCGACGCTTATTGCTATGTATATCGCAGGTCTTAAGCAGCCCATTCAGCGCGAGGTTAACCTTCGTGCCCCTGGCATGTTACAGGAAGCATTCGCCTTGGCTCGGGAGTATGCCGCAAGCCGTCACGATGCCCAGGCTGCGTATGGGACCTCTGGCCGTCGTCTATGGGGGTCTCCTCGGCCTGTTCACGGCCCCTCTCCGGCTGGGCAGTCTTCTGGTGTCTCCAGTCCACCCCACACATCAGCTCCTAACCAACCAGGCACCCGGCCCGTTACTTCCTTGCCGTCATACGGTTGACCAACGCCGAAAAAGCCGAACGGGGAAAAAAGGGGCTCTGTTGGTTTTGTGAAGAAAAGTGGGATCCAACGCATCGTTGCAAATGCCGTTTTCTCGCTCTCATGGGTCCGGATGACGAGGACCCCGTTACCCTGGATACTCCCGACGAACTTCCTATTACAGATGACTTAGTTATTACGGGCGACATCTCCAGCTTGCATTCTTTGGCAGGGAGCCCTAGCCCCTGTTCCCTCCGCCTCACCGGTAACATTAACAACTCCCCTGTGCATGTGTTATTAGACGGTGGGAGCACCCACAATTTTATCCACCCTGCTGTTGCGGAGAAACTTGCGTTGGTCCTCTATCCGGTGACACCCTTTCGGGTCTACGTCGGAAACGGGGAATCTCTGCGGTGCTCTTATTTTTGCCCCCAAACCGCCGTCACCTTGCAGGGTCATGTGTTTGCAATTGACCTCTATTTGTTAGAAATTCATGGACCGGAAGTTGTATTGGGCGTACAGTGGCTTCAAACCCTCGGCAAAGTCTCTCACGATTATGCAAATCTCACCATGGAATTCACCTGGAATGGGGCGACAGTGCAACTCCGGGGTGATGCGCCGGGTCCCAAACCGATTTCCTACGGGAATTTATGCACCTTGGTGGCGACCCAGTTGCCGCTGGAGTTCTACGAGTTGGTACCAGCCCCTACGGATGCCCCCCCAGCCACGGCAGCCCTGGAGTTCCCTTCGGACGTACCGGCGCCTGTTACAACCATCTTGCACACCCATGCCGCGGTCTTTACTACGCCGACTACCTTGCCCCCCGCTAGAGAATGGGACCATCGGATTCACTTGGAGCCTACTACTAAACCCATCAACGTCCGGCCATACCATTACCCGTATTTTCAAAAAACGGAGATAGAGCGGCAGGTCCAAGACATGCTTCAACAGGGCATCATCCGCCCTAGCCAGAGCCCATTCTCCTCTCCCGTCCTATTGGTTCGGAAAAAAGATGGCACTTTCCGTTTTTGTGTCGATTACAGGGCATTGAACGCAGCCACGGTACCCGATCATTTTCCTATACCCACGGTTGATGAATTATTTGATGAATTGGGCAACGCCACGATCTTCACTAAGTTGGATTTGCGCGCCGGGTACCACCAAATTCGGATGCACGACGCCGACACCTTCAAAACCGCATTCCGTACCCATGACGGGCACTATGAATTTCTAGTAATGCCTTTTGGCCTTACGAATGCGCCATCTACCTTCCAGTCGACTATGAACCATGTGTTCCGCAGCTACCTCCGCCGATTTATTATCGTCTTTTTCGACGATATCCTCATTTATAGCCCGGATCTAGAGACACACGCTGAACATCTCAACACGGCTTTAGGGGTACTCTGCCAAAATTCCTTCTTTGTGAAATTGTCTAAGTGCTCTTTCTGCCGGACCACCATCGACTATCTGGGACATTTGGTGACTGCTGGATTCCTCAAGGCCGACCCGGGGAAGATTGCGGCTATGCTCCAGTGGCCTCAACCCAAGACCGTGACCCAGTTACGTGGGTTTCTGGGCCTTACGGGGTACTACCGGCGTTTCATCTCCGGCTATGCTTCAATTGCCGCCCCACTCACCGAGTTACTCAAAAAAGACATCTTTCAGTGGACCCCCCAAGCCGAGGAAAGTTTTCAACGCCTTAAAGCGGCAATGGTATCCGCGCCTGTCCTTCGGCTCCCCGATTTCTCCCGTACGTTCTACATCGAAACTGACGCGTCTGATTCGGGGATAGGCGCGGTACTCCTACAGGATGGCCACCCGTTGGCCTTCTTTAGCAAGAAGTTAGGCCCGCGCCGGCAAGCCGCCTCGACATATCACAAAGAGTTATACGCCATTGTAGAATCGGTGCAAAAATGGCGTCAATATTTACTTGGCCGGGAATTTGTTATCCGTACGGACCACCGGAGTCTAAAGGATCTCTTATTGCAAGTCATCCAAACCCCGGACCAACAATTTTACGTCCGGAAACTCATGGGTTTCAATTTCCGGATAGAATATAAAGCGGGCATTACCAATAAGGCCGCCGATGCGCTGTCCAGGCGCGACTCTGATGACAATACGACAGCTTCTTTTGTGGCTCTATCACAGCCCATTCCGGTTCTGCTAGAGGCAATTAAGGCCGAACAGCGCACCCAACCGGAGATAGCCGAGCTCAAAACCGCCGTCGAGGCTAGCACGACCCCCCACGCATTCACCGTCCAGGATGGGGTGCTCTATTATAACCGGCGCATCTGCCTTAGTGCGGACTCCGCCCTCCGGCAGCAGCTCCTAGCGGAATTTCACAGCTCCCCATTGGCAGGCCACCAAGGCATTGAGCGGACATTCCGCCGGCTTGCAGCAGTTTTCTACTGGCGAGGCATGCGCAAGGACGTACGGGCTTTTCTCGCGGCATGTGTCCCCTGTCAAGCAACCAAATACTCGACCCAGAAACCGGTGGGTCTTCTTCAGCCCTTGCCCGTGCCCGACCGCGTGTGGGATTCGGCATCCATGGATTTCATCACCGGCCTTCCCCCGTCGCGAGGTTACACGGCCATCCTTGTGGTAGTGGATCGTCTGTCAAAATATAGCCACTTTGGCCCCCTCCCTGCGGGGTTCGATGCCCCTCGAGTGGCCGCCCTATTCCTCGACATGGTTGTCAAACATCATGGCTTTCCTTTGGATATCGTGTCCAACCAGGATTCCGTCTTTATGAGTCTTTTTTGGAAGGAATTGCTAAAGCTAAGCGGTATGACGTTGAAATTCAGCACGGCGTACCACCCCCAGACCGACGGTCAAACGGAGGTAATGAACCGAGGGCTTGAGCAATACTTACGGGCGTTTACTTTTGACCGGCCGGCAAAATGGGCGACACTTCTTCCGTGGGCAGAATTAGCCCTGAATTGTAGCCATCATGATGGCCTTAAAATCTCGCCCTTCCAGGCCCTTTACGGACGTGAACCGCCGCACGTGTTTACTACTATTTCTGTCCGCTCCAAGGTACCGGCAGTTGAGGAAGTGTTGATGGAGCGAGCGGCTGTCTTGGAGGAATTGAAGGCCAACCTTCGGAAGATGCAACAGCGTATGCGGGATTCCGCCAATCTGCATCGCCGTGACATGTCATTTCGGATCGGTGACTTGGTTCTACTTAAGCTTTAACCCTATCGACAGCATTCCGTCGCCAAACAAAAATCGGCAAAGCTAGGCCGCCGTTACTACGGTCCCTTTGAAGTCTTGGAGCGCGTGGGACAGGTGGCGTACCGCTTGCGTCTTCCTACTGGATGCCGCGTGCACGACGTTTTTCACGTCTCTCTCCTCCGTCCGTTCGTGACACCAGACACCGGCGTGCCTGCCCCGACGTGGCCAGTAGAATTTGTCCAGAATCATCCGCTATCTGTTCCAGTGGCAGCCCTGCGTAGTCGGACCGTGCTCATCGATGGGGAACCTCAAGATTAATGGCTGATTCGCTGGTCTGAATGTCCCTACAGTGACGCGACGTGGGAGCCCGTGCGCATGTTACGTGAACATTTTCCAACTCTCCGCCTTGAGGACAAGGCTGCTTCCAACGGCGGGGGAGATGATACGGGCCTAGGGCATGCAGCCCATGACGTGCAAGAAGAACCCGAGTCCCCGAGGTTAAGGCGTTTGCGAAGGAACGTTGGGCCGCCCCAACGTTACAAGAATTATGTGTGTCCTTAATAATTATTTTCTATTTATTTATTTCCCTTTTTGTATTTTAGATTTTTATTAGGTGAGCAGAATTATAAGCTCTTTCAAGGGTTTTCTTTTCGGTTCTTTCCCTTGACGCTTTTCTTGAACCGACAGGAATAGGATTAGGTTTTCGTATTGCTATATATATGGCCGCATGTCTAAACTACAAATCAAGCAATAAAAATCCTAATTAGTTAGCATAATAATTTCTCCTAGTTAAACTCTCCCTCTCTCTGTAAACCCTAACCGTGTCTTCACGGTGATCTCCGGCCACCATCCTCGTTACTTGTATCATACTCCCCCAAAATGTTCTTAGCAAAATGAAATGATTTTTTTTTCAATTTACTTTATTTTAGGATTAATATGAAAATAAATAAAAAAAATAAAATTTAGAATTTTAAAGATTATATCAAAAGTTTTTCGATAAAAGAAGTGACTAAAATATATTATTTTTATCATACGATAAATCATCCCTAAAAAAAGCATGTAATAAATGAAAACGAATAAATAAAAAAAATTTGTAATTTTTTAATAATGAACTGTGACATTCTTTTTCATATAAATGGAGTATTTTATTTTGATTTTTTAGTATCAAATTTGAAAATTTTTAGACATTAAATTTGAAAATAACATATTGAATAATTTTGTAAATTTTAAATGATTTGATTCCTATAATATTATGAAATATCATATTGCATTTTTAAATTAAAAACATTCAATTGAATCCAGGCAATGACTCTAGGACGTATTTGAGTTTTTATAAAATATGTTTCAAATCTAATTTATTCAGTGTACTCCATTCATTGAAAATATTGAATAATATACGTGTTCAGGTTTTCCAAATAACGAACTAACTTTGAAAGTTGGTACTCTTATGTTGTAGAGAAGAAATTGATCGGACCATGCTATATGTATACCACATTTGTACACGGTACACCAAAGTTGTACACTACATAAAATACAAGTGCAAACTAGCACAATGCCACTGTAAAATTGGCATTTGAGTTAAAAAGTTGTGATATTTTATGATTGTCAATGAAAGAAGACAATTTTATATAATGATTTTGTAAGCTATGATCATAAACAAAATCTAAAGTCAACGTCAATCATTATATCAAGAGTTACGAATCATAATGATTTAAAAATTATGATTTGTGATGAGGATGAACAATGACTATGCTCCACAACAAATAGTTTTTATTTTATTTTAATAATTTGTTAACGCTTTTATCAATATTGTGTGTAATTTGTTTGCATTCAATTTTGGAATGTAATATAATATTTTATTTTATATGAATCTTAATTTAAATTATTCACTTATATTTGTTTATACTCAAATACTGATAACTCAAATATTTGCAGTTTTATTTTTGGAACAAAATACTTTCCGTGCAACGCACGGGTATGAATCTAGTTTGTTATCAATGTTTATAAATGTTGAACACAAAAATCTAAACTGAAAATAAAATATAAGACGCATGGAATACATAAATATGGTAGGTATAATTTGAAAAGTTAAAAGCCTATTTCAGTTTTCTAAGATTGTTATAATAACATTACTTTTTGACATCTAATCTAAGGAGGTGTATTCAACCAGGATTCTGATGGATTTTTTTGGATTTTGAAAAATCTGTAGGTATTCAATTCAGATTTTAAAAAGTCATTTAAAATCTGAATGTATTCAATCTGAATGTACTTTCTATACTCCCTCTATCTCAAATAAAATTTACAAATTCTAAAACTAAAGCAAAAATTTTATAAAATAAAGGGTAACAAGAATATTTTATTTTATTAAATAATCAGTGAGAATGCACAAATAAACAAAAAAAATTGTGACTTTTGATTAATGAAGAGTGTAATGTTTTTGTGTGATGGAAAGAGCATATAGTACTCGCTTCGTCCCAAATAAAATGACTTGTTGTTACGAAGTTCAAATGAAGTTATTTTCATTTCAATTTATTTGAAAATTAGTATAAAATTAAAAAATAAAATTTAAATATTTAAAAAACTACATCAAAAATATTATGAAATAAGATGTGACAAGACTATATTATTTTACCAAATATATAGCAAATATCGGTAAAGAATGTGGTGAAAGTTTGACTCTGCAAAAAGTAAACATATAATTTAAATTGGGAAGGAATGAATATATTTTTTTATTTTTTAATAATTTATATTAAAAAGTTTTAGAAAATAAAAATAAAGAAATACAAAGGACAACCATTAAGTAAAAAAAATATAACTTCACAATATTTTAATAGTTTATATTTTTAGAGAATGTGAACAGTAACCTCCAAAAATAGATGATACATGCATTTTAGATGTCGAGCTAAAATACACATTACCCCTTGGATTTGATGAAATGCTATAAAATCATCTATAAATAAACTCTACTTTTACCTTTTATAGCTCTACCCTTAGATTATGACTTTGTTTGGTAATAAAAGTTCTCCATTACCATTAGCATTTTAAATGAAATTTTAATAGAGTAAATTTACTTTGGAAATAGTAATACTAAATGTTACTTCCTCCGTCCCAATTTATAATGTCTGTTCACTATTCACAGGATCAAACTTCATTCACTTTCTTTATCTATTTTCATTAGCAATTTGATAAAATAAAATACTATTGTCACTACTAGTTTTGTAGATCTTTTGATGTAGTATTTTAATATGTAATTTTTATTTTTTAACTCTATACCATTTGTCATATAAAATCATTTGAAAATAATTTCAGTCAAACATCGTAAACCGAAACAAGCACTATAAATTGAGACGGAGAGAGTACTATTATTAGATTTTTTTAGAAGGCTAACTCCAACTTTTAATGTTGTTTCCAAATAGGCTTTATATTCTCTTTGTCTCTAAACATCAATCATGTTTTCCTTTTTTAGCTGTTTCAAAAAAAGTCACATTTCGTTTTATGGAAAGAAATAAGTAATTTGCATTATTTATCTTTTTTTTGTATAAACTTTCATCATACAGGACAATTTTTTAGGATAAAAGAAGTATTGTAAATTTGGATAGCATGGTTCTTTTGACATTTATTTCCAATGTCTTAAACATCGAGCACACACGGAGCTCTACCCATTGGACACGCTATCGCGGATTGCCGTCCTCATATCTTTGCTAAAGAATTTGTAATATTGTTAATGACTAGAGTGGACAAACCAATCACAGTTGGTTGTCGAAAAAGAATAGTGCCACCACACAAATCGGGAGGATATTTTGGGCGGAGGGGGAAACTATTTTGGGGTCGAACAGAAAATCGTAAGTCTCAAATTGCCAGTCTTATATCATGACACTACACTCAAGTAACAAAAGAATTGCTCCGACACCATCTTTTCATAAACATGCATATTTTACAAGACGGAAAACTTGCATCAAACAGAGATTTCCTAGTTTCTAACAAAATATACAAAAAGGCAAGGGCATACATAATAAGCCAAAGAAACATATACTTGCCATTTGAAGGAAAGCTATACCCGGTATATGTCAAGTGAAGTTTAATTCTTGAATATAGATCAGGGGCAGTTTATGATATCCTTTCTTCCTCAAGCAGTGCATAAGGATCAATATATTTGGATGGAGTGATATGGGTGGTATTGGCCTCGTGGATAAATGTGGGTCCGAAATACTGTTATTGAAAATGAAAACATCCATGTTAACGGAGCGGACACAGGGGGTGAATGAGGGGAAGGGAAAATGAGAATTTATGTTGCAGGGAAATGATAGAAAAGAGATATGTGGTATGCATATTAAATTACATATCATAACACAGAACTTACCAGGTACAAAGCAGAGAAAAATGCAATGATTAGTAAGATCAATGGCATTAATCCCAAAAAGAATGTCCCTCCAAGGGTAAGCAAAAGCTTAGCACGCGGAATTAGGCCCTGAAGAAAGTAGTAATGGAAGATTAAAAAACAAAAACCGCAGCCCACCCACATGCTATATAACTCTCCAACACATGTAATGCACGAACCTATTTTATTTACTCTCGGCCTTATATATTCAAAAACGAAAGGGCCTTAAAGAGGCACAACCCCCAAGCACCCAAGTCCCACCAAGCCGGGTAAGTAAGAGAAAAAAAACCGAAAGAAAATTAATACTCCATACCAAAATAAGGTTGCACATTTTAATTCACACATTTACTGTAAAAGACATTATGTGGTTGAGATTTACGCAAAGGAGAGAAATACCGAGTAATATATATGAACCACACAATTCTTTCTGGAAAGGATAAGTGAAATGTTATTTCAGGACACTCCAAAGGAAAAATTTGAAGTTTTTTAATGGGATAGAGGGAAAAGATAATGACAACACCCCCCCCCCCCACCTCACGCACAAAAATAGGGCGAATCCAAGAGACTAAAACTAGTCTATGCAAGATGGTAACAAAAAGAACCCTTCAACATAGCGAGTCAGTAAGAAGAACAAGCCACACAAACCAACCAACTCAGTTCTTTATGTTAGCTCTTGAGCTATCTTATATACAGAGAAAATTATATGCTCTAAGTCTAAAAAGTACCTCAAATAGCATGCATGAATGATGTCCTTTGTAGAGCACTAAAGCATTTGCACACAATTGACAGAAAAGTTCATGGGAAGTGATATTTACTTGAACTGTTGAGTAAATCCAATGAACTAAGCACAATTGTCAAAAAGAGAAAGAAGATGATAAATGCAAACCTCAATGCCTTCACTATTCAGAACCATAGACTGCTCTCTCTGATTATATAAACTGCTTCCAGATTCCGTTGAGATAGCATTTTTACGAGACGAGTCTCTGTCTTCTTCCTTGAATTTCATGTCATCCTCATATACTCTTTTTTTGCTTTCTTCAAGTAATGAAGTACGATTCATGCCTCGTCTCTTCAACTCTTTCATGAACAATGACTCAGGAGGCTCTTCACCTGAGCACAATACTTCAACTGTGGATTTTGGATTGTCCAAGGCAAAATATAACTATAGAAGCCTAAAAATCATAACATTACCCCACAGCAGTATCACAAATGAGGTATGGGGTGGGTGTACCTAGACCTTTACCGCTCTCTATACAAGGTTTTAAAACAGCTTGTCGAGTAGTAATCATAATACTCCCACCGTCCATGGGCTCTTTCCACATTTCCTTTTTCGTGCATCTGAAAATATTTCTCACCTTTTTTAAGGAAACAAATAGGTGATTCCTATTTTTTCTCCTTCTTAAAATTAAACCTCAACCACACACACTTCCGACTTCTTAATCTATGTGATTCATCAAATTGGAAAACCCCAACATGATGGAGGGAGCATTACCCAAAATGAAAACATTGATGCATTGGTGTTGGAAGTTTGAACATCTTTTAGCTACTTATGCTTCTTATTCAATTCTACCATATTTAGCTAACAAAGGGGGCCTTAAACTTATATAGTCATTTTTACTATAAGAATCAATAACTAAATTAAAATTAAAATTAAAATTAAAATTAACGATTGGGAATCATACTCTACTTTACTTTACCTTCGCTTGGAGTGCGATTGTCCTGAAGTTTACAGGAAACCCTAAGCTTCGGATCAATCAATAATCTGAAGCTCGGATTAAGCTTTAACTGGAAACGGAAATTTCTTCTCCATCTCCGATAATCCATGACCCCGTAGCCTAAACCCGAGCAATCAGAGGCCAAATTTGAATGAGAAGAGAACTCGGAAATCGATAAGGAAGACAAAGCATGTTTCGACGGAAGGTGAGCCATTATTCAGAAATCTTTCTCCGAAATAGTAGGAAGTTGGATCTGGATATCGTTAACAAGAAGCAGGGAGAGGGAGAGGGAGAGGGCGAGAAGAATGAGAAGCAAGCTTCTAGAGGGAACAGAGAGAGGACGAGGGGAATATGTGGGACCCGATACTTTTGTAATGGTCAGGTCACCACGTAGTTTGGCAAAATGTGATGTGGCTGTTCTGTGTTGCTAAAATCAAAATGGGATATGTACACCACCCTTCTACTAACCATTCATTTTATTTTGTTTTTATTTTTAAATTTTTTTGAAAATTTTTTGCTTTTTTTGTGTGGTGATGGAGGGGATGGGGGATGTTTGGGGCACACTTTTGGTGTACCCCTAGCATTTTCCAATCAAAATTTCTACTCGGTCCTAGTATTTCATTTCACCAACACCCCACCCCCACCCCACCCCCTCTGATTTGGTAAATGTTTATTGTTATTCTCTTATAGTTTTAAAATTTACGCTGTTGTCTTTCATTATTTCAATATTGTTACGCCTATACCCTTTGAATAAAAATATCCTTCAAATATTAGATGAAAAACTTTGTTGCCACCTATCAATTTAGAAATGAAGGCCAACGTCTCCTCTCTTTTTTCTTTATTGTTTTCCTTTTTTTCCATACAAAGAAAAAAATATTTTTGTGTGGAATAGTGAAAACTTATTTTTTCAAACCTACAATTTTTTAAAAAAATTAAAAATAAAACATGTTTGCATTTGAAATAAAATATTTAACATATATTTCATTTGTCAAATTAAATATTTTTGTTTTTTGTCTAAAAAAGTTTTTATCTTTTTGAATATGTGGTGACTAAAAGAATAATGAAAAACGTCATTTTAATATATAGTTAATTATATACAAATAATATTTTTTAGACCAATGTGCAAAAGATTTCTTTCATGACTAAAGTGTCTATATTCTATGAAAGTATTTTTTAATATACCTTTCTTTTTCTTTATTTTCTTTTCTCTTTCTTTTTTTCTTTTATTTAAATTCTAGTTAAAATAAAAGAAACGATATAAAATTAATGAATTGAAAATGAGAAATGAGTTTTGGTAAAAAAGAGAATATTTCATTGATTTTCATATCATGAAAATGAACCGATAAAGATATCTTTTGGACAAAAAATGAAAAATTTTAATTTGAAACAAATGAAGTGTGCATTAATTCTTGTTTTTAATTGATTTTTATTACAAATACAAAAATAATTTATTATTAAAACATTATAAAAAATAATTTTTAAAAAGAAAAAAAACATTTACGAAAAAAATAATAGAAAAAAGAGTGCAATAAAGAAAAGAGGGGGTGTTTGTGCAAATTTCTAAAACCGTAGGGGCCGTGAAGCTATCCATATAATATTCGAAAGATACTTTAGTCTAAAATGGCATTGGTGTAGGAATTTCAGAACCGTGAGGGCAATGACGTAAGCTTTGAAACTATTCAATTTCCATCACCCTTCTCTAATCATTCTCCTACCTTTTTAATTATCTTTTTCGCATGTCATCTCTTCATTTGTACAAAAAAATATAAAAAATAATTGGCCAATAAATTTTTTCTCTCTCTAGTGGAATAATATTCTCCCCTCCCCCTCTCTCCTTTATTCCCTCCCCCTTTCTCTTCCACATCTCGTATTCTCCCATTCATTCCTTTCCATTAGTAAGAGCACCAGAAATACACAATCTCGGGCTTCGTCTACCCGGCATTAAACACCACTCCCCTTTACCATTAAAGGGCATCACCCCTACTGCATTAAATGTTTAACGCGGAGAAAAGGAGAGGGAGAGAGCCGTTGAGGCCCAAACGGCTATAATGTCGTTGGGGAATATTAAAAAAACAAGTTTTTTATTTTCAAAACTAAAAATACCCCCTATTTTTAATACAACAAACACATACCATATTCTCATTCTCTCCATATTTCTTCCAAAATATATTTTATTTTTTAAATTTTCTCTACAAAATATTCAAGAAATTAGATCATCTTCATCTGACGATGAAAAGAGAGCTCTCATTTTTCGTAGTTTCGCGACGGGTTGTTATCAATGGTGGCAACAAGCCCGGTGAGAAGAAGTAGAATCCTACTGACGCTGACGTCTGACCCGATATGAACGTTTAAACCATGATCGGCGGCTACGCGTGCTTCATTACTCAATGACTACTTCAATACGCATGCTTTACACACTGGAGAATTTTAGCTATCGTTTCTAGATGAGTCGTTCTATTTGTTACGCATACTGATATTGAACGCGAGTTGCCTTAGTTCACCCAACGCTTTGATGCGAGAGGCCGGCGCAGTTTTAACAGCGTTCTGCAAGTGCACCGCCGCGCTTCGTCAAAAGGCGTATGGGACGACGACATGTGATATGTTTGAAGAATACTTGAAGATGTCGGCTCGTAGCATCAGGTCAGGTGTTTATAAATTTTCTCAAGCTATCATTCGACTCTATCATAAAAGTTATTTACGTAATCCGACAACGAGCGACATTGAGCAGTTACAGGCTAAGCATGCCGCTAAACAAGACTGTGTCAGCATGCTTGGGAGCATCGATCGCATGTATTGGGAATGAAAAAATTTTCCTACTGCGTGACATGGTCATCAGTTCTCTCGGAGAATGGAAAAATTGTCCCACACGTCTTTGTCGGCTTTTTTTTATTTTTGTTGTTATTATTCAAATTTTATTTTATTAATGTACTTTTTATTTAATGTTTTTTATTTAATGAATTATTGTCCTCTAAATTCAATTAAATAATAAAATTTTATTAATTTAGTTTTAAAAGATGTGTATTTGAAAATGTAAAAAATAGAGGTTTGAAGCCTCGGGGCTTTAAACCCATTTCTAGTAGAATTATGGCGTGAGTTAAAGGTGATGTGACAGAGAGAGAAGGTTTGAAGCTCCGAGGCTTCATACATATTACCAGTGCTCTAATGCCCTTATTTTCTTTTTTGATTGTTTTAAACTAATCATCTAGTTTCCTTTTTTGAAAAGATTTTTGGGGCTCGTTTTTTTTCTTTTCACTTCATTACTTTCAATCATAATATTCTACTTTTCTTAAATTTGTATTAAGTCAAATTGGAAGTATTTATTTAGGACGGAGAGAGTATTAGGGGAAGGGCACCTCCACATTGCATTCAAACTACTCACCGTAACTATTCGTCTATATCTCAAAATTATTCGGATTTGGTTGCGATACCATACTCAAGTATTCAATATATTTTTTTATAAAAAATGTATTTCATTATTTTAAAATAAAATATAATTAAAACATTTTTATTAAATTCAAAATAAAAATAATGTCCATTTAGTAGACAAAAAAATTAAAAAGAAAAGGGTTGAGCTTCGAGTAGAGCCGGGTAAAAGAATCTGAAATATATACTCGGGCAAAGTGCTAGGATAGATGGGGGTGGTTAATGGTGTATGTTTGTTCTCCCGAACTACTCGAAAGTCAAAACTACTCAGATGAATTCAAGCTAAGGCACCCCCTATCCCCCTATAATTTTACTTTATTAGGCAAATTATACTATACTTCAGTATATAAAACCTTAATTTTATGGTAGCGATTACAAATAGATACTACTGTTACTACTATTATGGTCTCTCGATAATCTTTATTTGTATGTTTTTATTAATAATTTGATAACACAAATATATATATATATATATATATATATATATATATGTTATATACATTTTTTATGTACTTTTAAATGGTTTAATTAATATATGTTCCCTATGTCCCAATTTATATTGTCTGTTTCGATTTACGATATTTGACTAAAATTATTTTCAAATCATTTTATATGAAAAATGTGTAGAATTAAAAAATAAAAATTACATATTAAAATACTACATCAAAAGATCTACAAACCTAGTAGTGACATGACTATTTTATTTTATCAAATAACTATCAAAAAAGAGAAAGAATATGTATGAAGTTTGAGCCCTAAATAGTAAACATGCAATTTAATTTAGAACAGAGGGAGTACTTTTCATTTTGGAAAAACTATCTTAAATAATCCTATCTTTTCACGTTTTTTAAAAAATAATTCCACTTTTCACTGTCACCGGAAATAATCCTACTTTTTTGCATGTGTGGGAGCTTCGGATCGCCGTTAACAAGCTGACGACCACTTAATAGAATTTTTGGAAAACGATTGTTTTTCGCAAATAAATAAAAGGTAGGATTATTTTGGTAAATTTACCTTTTTTTTATTTTAAATTTAAAATTTATGTTTTTAAAAATATAACAGTACACTCTTATTAGAGATTTGTCTCAATTTTATTTTAATAGTGATGGATGCCTAATATTTTTCCTAGAACTGTTGATCGGTCCAAGTCCAATAATAATTAGTATCCGGGCTTATAACAGTAAGAAATTAAGAAGGAAAAAGTAATGGATCGTGAGTAGATGCACAACACACAATGAATTAACTCAAACTGGAGTCCCCTTCTGTATTCGGTCCACTTAGGGATCGGAATATTCTATATGACCACCGAAAAATTCTTTTATTACTCAAGTCCTTCTTACTCTCTTTTATAACGCCCCAAAATATACCCTACAATTATTAATGAATAATTATTCGATTAATCAAATTTGTTTTCATTAAAATAAATTGTTTTTGGGCTTTGGGCCGAAATAAAACTTATATTGATATCCAATATCACAATCTGGATAAATCTCATAGAGATAAATCCAATATATTGACTTACTGTGTGATCTTAATTTGGGAACCAGAGTATAGACCCAAATTAGAGATAAATGAAAGATTTGTTTATGATGTGAAATTTGAAATGATTTATTGAAATAACTCATGAAAATAAGTTATATGAATTAAATGTGAGAACCTTTTTGAATAAAGGTCAACTAAATCAATTTTGACTCTATCAAAGTCAACCATCCAAAAATCTGATGTCGGAAAAAGTATTACAAATAAATAAGAGGATTATATCGTTGGATAGAGTTTAATTGTACGATCGCAACGGTGAAAACGGATTTCAATTCGGAAAAAGTTGGACAAAAAAAAAGTACCCCGACTGGGACCAAAATTAGTCCCAATCAGGGACTTGCTTTTAAATTTCGTAGGATCGCCGCTCCTTCCACAATGCCGAACGCATAGGGAGAATGACGCCAGGAAGAATGTCTCCTTCCTCTTCCTCTTGCTATAAAAGTAACCCAACTTCACCATTTCTTCACCATTCTTCATCAAATTTGTTCTCAGAGATAGCCTTGAGTGTGGAGAACGCGGTGATGCTGTCAATTTCGTGAGAAGTCGCCGGAGCAAGCCGTGGTGTTCGCCGGAAATTTCGTTGTTTTTCCGCCGGAATCAAAGTTTTACTTCGAGGTAAGCCCGTAGATATATATTGTGACTAGAATGTTCGTATATATCGTTTCTACGTTCATAAACGGTTGATTGGTTGAGTTTTGTGTTTGACATGCTTGAAAAACCAAGAATCATAAGCCTTTGAAATTGTTGTTAAAACTTTGAATTTATGGCATTTAAATGATCTATGAACATTGGAGAACATTTCTATATAGTTTATTTGAAGATTAATCACTTAAAATGATGTTTCGAAAATTTAACCTGAGATAGCTTAGAAATAGGCCTTACGGTTATAATTATGAATATTCATTGTCCTGGGTTGAAATGTACATACGGGATCTACAAACCAAACTAGAGGAACTCATTTAGTGATACCACCCAACCCAACAGTGAGCATTCCGCTGTTCGGTTTCTGGTTGACCTTAAGCGAAGGTAAGTTTATCTTAAACTAGACCTAGCTTAAGGATTGGATAAAAGTACCTTAAACTAGAATATAGTTTAAAAATTGATTAGAAATATCTTAAACTAGAATTCGTTTAAGGATTGATAAATATGAAAGAGATTGTCCTTAGACTAAGAATAGTTTAAGTATATTGTTGAATACGAATGTTGAATATTGAATTTGAATGTTGAATATTGAATATGAAAATGAATGTTGAATATGGAACAATGAATGTTCAGGAGAATGCCGAGGCGGACATCTTATCGAAGCTGAGCTCCGAGAGGCTCGAGCATATCAGGTAGATGGTGAACATAGAGGAACTAGCCGAGCCGAGCATCCATGCATTCCCTGTGGCAATGATCTGCGCCCAGCCCAAGAACTAGAGGGACGACATAGCTGCGTTCCTCAAGGATGGCGTCCTCCTGGATGATACGGCAAAGGCTAAGCTAGTCTGGTCTAGCGCACTGGGGTACACTACGGAAGGCGGAAGGCTGTACAAGCAAGTTTACAACGAAACGTTACTCAGATGCTTTTGACCAGCCGAAGCGGAGCGAGTCATGGAGGAAGTACATGCTGGGATATGCTCAGCCCACCAGGGGGCGTACGCAGTGTCACGGAAGATTACTCTACGGGGGTACTTTTGGCCCACCATAGTAAAGGATTGTGCAGACTTTGTAAGGAAATGTAAGATTTTCCAAGAGTTCCAAAGGGTACTAGGGAGGCCTTCCGCAAACTACACCTGTAACGCCCCAAAACATAGTCTAAAAGTTATTCTATTATAAAAGTATTTTTAGAAACAATATTTTGACTCAACAAAGCATTATTTCTATGTTTGACCAAAAATGAAGGAATTTTTAGAGTCAATAATTTTTGTTAAGATTAACTTTTATGAATAGGTCTTGAAGAGACGAAACCAACGGTATATTTTATGAATAAATCTGATGTACAGAAGTTCAGTTATGACATTTTAAATATGTAATTTGTATAAAAATGAGAAAAAGTCAAAGATGTGAACTTTTGTAAAATGATGTATTGAAATAAGTATTTATATTTAATAATATTGATTGAATATGAGACTAATTTTAATTACATATCAATTAATTCAATTTTGACTCTGTCAAAGTCAACACCCAAAAATATG